CAGTTGACCAAAAGCAAAGAGTTTTATTAAACATAACCGAGACGTCTAAAGACAAATGGTGGTTGAACGAGCCGTTCCTCATTCCTCCACGGGGTGATAGGAGAGCGCCATGTTGCCAGGAAGGCGGAGCTTTATTCTGGAGCACTGGCCCAGGTGTCTCCAGTTTGCAATCTCCGGGATCCTGCCATTAAAGGGACACACACACAGAAACCAGTAACATGGCAGGGAACCGTCACACACCTGCTATCACAAAACAAAGACAAGCATGATTATGCTCTTATCCTGCCGTCCTTAAACGTTACAGAGAAATTAGTTTGGAAGATCAAGATATGTTCATCAGATGAGATCAGATCTAGACTGATGAAAAGCATCAGAATGTTGATATATTAGATATTGATACCCATTGCTGGTTTAAGATCAGAGATGGTATTGGCTACAGTGGGCGACTGTGGCTCAGTGGTAGAGCAGGGTTGTCCTTCAATCAGAGGCTCAGCGGTTTGATCTCTGGCTTGATGTGTCCTTGGGCGAGACAGTTAACCCCAAATGAATAATTAGATAGAGCCCTGATGGGCAGGTGGCACCTTGCATGGTAGCTCATGTCATCAGTGTATGAATGGGTGTGAATGGTGAATGATGACATGTAGTGTTAAAGAGCTTTGAGTGGTCGGAAGACTAGAAAAGAGAGAAACGAGTACAATACCATTTAATAATATTCTTATGATGATAATTATATTACATGTTCTTTACTTAAGGTCATTGGTTTCTCTTGATGTGAAAGGACCTGACCCCCCCCACCCTTGTTAACACAGTGTTGTTGTTGTTGTTGTGTTGTATCAGGACATGTTGAAGAACACTCCAAAGACCCACACCGACCGGCTGCCACTGCAGCTGGCTCTCACTACGCTGGAGACTCTGGCCGAGAAGCTCAACGAACAGAAGCGTCTGGCTGATCAGGAGGCTGAGATCCAGCAGTTAGCACACAGTGTGGGGGACCGCAACCTCAGCAAGGTGACGCACCATGCGTGATAACACACATGTATGAGCTATTGATTTAACCTATGGGTTGGCCTCTTATGGACTGAAATTGTTATCATATTTTGATTCATAAAATAAACTATACTATTCAGCATCTCCTCTTTGTGTCAGAGAGTAGATGGAATGGCCTACATTAAATGGGAGCGTCAATCTGTCCAATAAATATGACAGTATGTCTATCGAAGGGATAGTTCAGATGTTTAGAAGTGTGGTTGTATGAGGTTCTTCTCCATACTCAGTGTGTCACTACAGGAGATGGAGTTTGGAGAACCAGCACAGGAGCGAAGTCATGTACTGCTGTGATGTATTTCAGACGCCTAAAAAAAATCAGTATCGGTTTAAGTGTAGCTATGTTTAGAATATTTTCCGTCATGGAACTGAAGTAAAAGTGAAACTCATCTTTACAGTATTAGTCAACGGAGTTTTTTGGCTTTGAAGAGATCATAGATAAGTTTCTCTTTCAGATCAGTTCCCAGACAGAGGGCTGTCTGACGGTAAGATAAATATTCTAATATAGCGTACATTTAAACTGATATCAATCTCTTTAGGTGTCTAGAATAGGTGTGCTGCTACCCCTGTCCACAGCACTGCATTGCTTTGCTCTTGTGTCCTATCTGTTTCTCCTATGTAGGGGTGTGCCGACTGCATCTACTCTAGGTAATATACAGACTATGGATCAGTACCTCATACAACAAAACACAAACTATCCCCTCTAATTTGAATGTTTCTTGTATTCAGTTGATTTATTTTGGCTATGTGATGGTGCCAGAGGATAGGTGAGTGAAGGTCCTCAATAATCAGCCTCTGGAGACCATGAATATCCAAACTGAATATCATATTGATGTGACTGGTAATCATTGAGATACCTGGTACTGGAACAAAAGCCACCAAAAGCTTTTTACATCCAAACTAATCAACGTCCAGACAGCTTCATTCATCCGCAAGCCTTTGTCTTGATGTTATGTCATTTTGAAGATCAGGGAGTACGGGTTGTACATTCAGCTTTTATTCCAAGCAGGCTCCAAAGAAGATCATTTACTGGTTCATATACTGGCTGAAGCTCAGAGTGTAGGTAAGGGTCTACTTTTCAGTGAACTGCTTTGTGCTTCCAGCTGCTGAACTCGGAGCAGCGGCAGTGGATTCAGTGTGAACTGCTCACTGAAATAGTTTATGGTGATAAAGGTCAAGTTGTCAAGTCGAAGGAGCGGAAGGTCTTCCTCCTCAACGACACCCTGATCTGTGCCAATGTTAACCTGAAGTAAGTACCTCCTCCTGTAGACCCTGAGGCTGCTGCTTTAGCTCCACTGTCTGTGCTGGAATCTCTCTTACATTTGATTATTTACATGTTTATTTCTTTGGTAATGAAAATATGAATGTAGGAATGAGACATGGCTGTTTTTGGAGCAGTTAGCAATCAATCTTCATGCGTGAGAAGAGTTTCTCGACGAACAACTAGTTGCAGTGAGTCTGTTCTCAAGGAGCTACCAGGTTTCAGCTCTGTAGATGCTGAACACAACTCAGGTGATGTGATGGGGTGCAGGGTCAGAGGAGACGGGGTGCTGTGATTTGGACTGATGAGACGGCTCCTGCACAGAGTAGCTGCCACATATGTGTTCCCATGACCACATTTAGAACATGTTTGTCCACCAGGGGTCCCCCTGACATCAGCAGCCTGGTTCCTGTTGGTCCTAAGTACACGGTGAAGTGGTGTGGCCCCTTGCTGCAGACTCAGGTGGTGGAGGTGGGACAGGACAGTCACCAGAGAAGGGACAGTGTCATCACAGCTAGACGCCACAGCTCCACCTCCAGCACCACTGGTAAATCCACAGCTCCACACCCACTACACACACTGACTTAATGCAGATCGTATATACTCTATATCTATACTCTTATGTGTGTGTGTGTATGTGTATGTGTGTGTGTGTGTGTGTGTGTGTGTGTGTGTGTGTGTATATATGTGTGTGTGTGTGTGTGTATATATATATATGTGTGTGTGTGTATATGTGTGTGTGTGTATATGTGTGTGTGTATATGTGTGTGTGTATGTGTATATATGTATGTGTATATATATGTATGTGTATGTGTATGTGTATATATATGTATATATATGTATGTGTATGTGTATATATATGTATATATATGTATGTGTATGTGTATATATATGTATATATGTGTATGTGTATATATAT